CGCTTTGAGAACTCACATTTTTTAAAAACAAAAACATAATTAAAATAGTGTAGAACCTTTTCGTGGTGCTGATCAAGATCCAGGGGTTATTTTATCGGGGTTTAACAAAATTATTTTTCCATTTTTTGTATTAACACTCTCCTTCCCCTAAAATTTTGTCATTAATGGAAAATATCAAATTTCAAATAAACTTCCATAATTCAAAAATTTTATTGCTCCAGGCGACCATGGGTCCAACAATAAATTACAATTTTTATTTTTGCTTAAATTTGAGCTTGACACTAAATCAACTGAAATTTTATAGCAATAATGTTTATAGCCTGGTTTATTGTGGAGCTAATTGAAATTTATTTAATAAAACGGCAAGTAATTAAATGTTTAAATGTTTAGGGTTCGTGAAATGATACGAATGAGACTTAGTAAGGGTACACACTATGGAAATGACTGGAAAAACTTTTAGAGATTTATATTTTAATTTATGGACGTCGTCGTATCTCATTCCAGACAGTGCTGGGGGAAAATTACCAATAAATGTTATTTAAATTTAATATCAGATTTTCAACTACATGAAAACATAAAAAAGTCAATGTTTCCGTAAATTTGTTTTAGTTCATTTTGTTTTATTGGTAACATAAAGAAATTAATTTAAACAAAAACAAATCCCCTTCTGTCATTGACATTAATTGATTACCAAAAATTGTACAACAACTTTCTGTTTTATTGTTGTTGTTGTTGGTAAAATAAAAATTATAAGAACAAATTCTAACAACAACAGCATCGTTTTGCGGAAAAAGTTTAATTGAGTTTATTCTCATTTTTGCACTCATCACTTGGTATTTCAATGCGTTGTCAACTGATGGAGAGATAGAGGGGGAATGGCAAGCAAGGTGGTTGGTAGCTTGGCAACCAAAGTTTGTGGTAAGACTTTTTTTGAATTGTACAACTATGACATTTATATGGTGTTAAAATAATTTATGTGCGTAAATTAATTAATGTTCGTCATCATCTTGGTGGCAAGTAAACTAATTTATCTTCCAAATGTAAAGGTATGGAGGAAAAGAGATAGCAATATTTATGAGAACTTTAACAACTTGATTTGAATTTTCAGGGAATTTCGGTCAGTAAATAAGTTATGGAAAATAAAGTTGAACAATATTAAATGAACTTCGTGGAATATATTTTTGATTTTTCTATTTCCTGGAACTAATATTGAAAACAAGCCAGAATATATAGCATGATTGATGACCATCGTTTATTCAATTCTAAGGGATCGAATTAATTAACGGAAGTTTGCATTCGTTTCGTTGAATGGCCGCCAAGGTCATATAAGTATTTAATCAGTAAAAAATTCTAGTAAAGCAAAGTCGAGCCTTATATACCCTTCCCTAAAAGGTACGCATTTAGAAGTTTATTCAACTCTAAAGGATCGACGATTCGTTTCGTGGAATGGAAATGTTCATATAATGTTCAAGATTAACCGCCGAGGTCATGCAAGTATTTTATTAGCAAAAAATACTAGTAAAGCAAAGCCGAACCTTATATACCCTTCCCTAAAAGGTACACATTATGAAGTAACTAAAATCGTCCGGTACCCTTAGCATAATTAAAATACCTAACATTGGACTTTAGCTGCATATGGAGGCTATGTAAATTACAAAATTGCTGCAAATATGTTTGCACTTGGACGGGTCCATTATATGGAGGCTATACCAGGAAATCGAAATAGCATTGGAAAAGGAGAAGAGGTCTATATTTCTCATTATACCCTACCCTCAATTTGTTTTAATATTTTCGCATTACTTTTTGTGTTTAATCCTGCATTTCACCATGAATACCATTCCCTCTTACAAAGGTTAATTGAGATTGACTTTTTTCGTCATCATCAGCATCATCGCTGCCATATTATTATGACAAGAGCAGAATATGTAAACTACAATGAACCTTAATATCTGGCATTTATTCTGCAGCCGAGCAATGATAGTTACCTTAGCAAAAAAGCTGCTATAGAAATACGTTCATGTTTTTGCCCCGCTAAAAACTATTCCTGCTACAATATAAAGTCAAATTAGATGGCATTAGTGTTGTTATAATACCAAATGGGACGTGTGTTATCTACATGTGTATTCGCACACACACACACACGCGAACACACATATATGTTATTAAGCATTAGTGTTTGTTTAACATAAAAACATACCTACGAAACAAGTATGCAAGAAAAAAAAACGAAACAACTAAACGAAACGATTCAACTAAATGAATAGACAGACGTGCAGACAGTTAGATAGTGTAGAATTCAAGATCCGTGTTTAATAACAAAAAGCTTCTCATTAACAAAATAAACACATATTTAAACAGATATGTACACATGTCCGTCATATAACTATCTGTGTGTGTGTTAGAGATATACACACTTACCTACACATTTTCATATTTGTGTGTCAGCATACATTTTTAATGAGATTAGCATTTAAAAAAAGGTGAAAGAGATTGCCATGGAATAAAAAGCATACACCGCCACCACTACCATCCTTGGGCCAGGATTTATGGTAATTTATGCAAAAAGCTTTACGGGATAAATATAAGTAGGATACGTGTTTCCTGGGAAATAACTTTAAAAATTAATTGGAAATTTAGGTGGGGTGTGGAAGCCATTACCGAGTTGGCTGGCCGTATTTGAAACTTGAATTGTAATAGATAAGAGGTCCAAATATGAGTCCTGCAAACAATAGCCCTAAACTATATTTTACACCTCTACCACATCCAATATATACAAGATGTTTTCAATCATATATGGGTGATATATATTTTTAAACATGTATGACACTAAATAGGGCAGCTATATTACAATAAGATCCCATTTCAATAAAAAAAGTTGTTTTAAAATTCATTCGGTCAAACTATACGAAGGTTTTTTTATCTTTAGTCTTTTATCCTGTAAGAGGCAGAAATATCACATTGCAACCACTTAGATTAAAAAATTTTTAATATACTTAAAATAAAGTGGGACCTCGATTTCTACAATGCCAAAACAAGGTCTTATAGTTTTTTTAGATTTGGATAAAATTTATTCATTTAAAACAAATATAAATTTTCAAATAAACTCTCATAATTCAAAAATATTATTGACCAGGCGACCGTTGGTCAAACTATGTGAAAGGGTATTCAAGCCTCAATTTGGTAGACCTAGCATTTTTCGGGGGCATATATCATTAAATCGTACGAAACTGTACAATGGAGCTATACTTATAAAAGAACCTATTTAAAACCAGTGAGCTAAGCAGTATAGTCGGACGGGGCCGACCATACAATACCCCATACAACTACCACGGAAATCAACTACCACGGAGAGCCTGGGCAATATTTCGTGATATTTGCACCCGCATGCCCAATTAGAGGCCAACAGCACCTCTTCCTTACACTGAAAGCCCTTCTAATTACTTGTCCAGATTCTCTTCACCGTGAATTGTGTTGTGATGTTCGGCTTATAATTGTGGCCTATAAATCGACTTAAAAAAAAAAAACAAAAAAATAAGTTTTCGGTCCACTTTATCCCAAAATTATTATCTGATCATTCACCGTGAGTTGTGCTGTGATGTTCGGCATATAATTGTGGCCTATAGATCGACTTGAAAGAAAACAAAAAAATATGTTTTCGGTCCACATTATCCCAAAATTATTATCTGATCATTACCGAACATTATAAGCGCTGTCCTTGACCATAACTGGAACCTCATGGAAAATTTCAAAGCCATCAGCGCTATATTTCAACCATGTATTGTGGTAATGGGTTACTAAATAAAATCTCTGTAGGGGCAGCCATGCAAATATTGTAATTTTAACTCACACAAAAGTACATACAACCATATAATTGGTATCAATTTAAAGGTTGACCAATTCTTTGTGATGTTGTGGCCTCTGGAGCGACCAGAAAAACGGACAAAAATTCAGTATTTGGTCCATTTCATCTCCTAAATATTAACCGATCTTTACCAAACACAATAGGGGTCTTCATTGGCCAAAACCCATCCTACATGCAAAATTTCGTGAAGATTGGTCCATAAATGTGGCCTGTATCGTGTATACAAATTATAATGGACAGACGGACGGATGGACACACATGTCTAGATCGGCTCAGCTAGTCGAGATATGACGATCGGTATAATTGAAGGTGGGTCTAGGACCAATATTTCGCGGCGTTACAAACTTTTGGGGCTGCACAATGCTATAATACCCTGATAACATAGTTGTGTAGGGTATAAAAAATAATGGCACATGGCATAGTCAACTCAGGGCAAAATTTCGAGCTCTATTGTTATTTCAACAGGCGGACATAGCAATCTAATTCTGATCCACAATATGGGGTCTCCCACGAATATTTGGAAGTATTTTATACACGTACCACCTTAATATTCTTTCCGATATTACCTTGCTGCAATGTATATTTATATTTGAAGGTCTATTTTGCCTTGAAATAACCCTCATTCAACAATGAAAAATAACCCACACCTATGACAATACAACAAATACAAATGGTAACTGGTGTTTGTTAATCACATTAGGCAAACATATACAAACAAAGACCCAAAACATACACATCCTTCCTTCCATCCATCCATCCTTCCTACACACACACATGTCACACAGCTAATCTCCGACTAGTTTTAATTAATCTAAAACTATTTGAATATAACTAACTGTTTAGTTACAAGGCTGACATGACTAGTCATGCGATGATTACGGCGATGAACAAAAGCATGTCCTCTTAACATGACTGACATACAAGCTGAACATAAAAAAGAGATAGAAGAAGAATAAAAAAACATAACATCATGTAGATGCTTCCTGAATGTGTTGTTTACATATTCATAATGGTCACACATATATTTGATAGAGAAAAAAAATATATATACGGATATAATAAGACTAAATGTAAATCCAAGGATCCATTGTACTTTTTGTTATAATGAAATTGCTAAATAAACATTCAAGCTACATACCTGCAAAATATGCCAACATGGCTGTTAGGACGACTGATATTAGAATTAAGGCGATACTCAAACATTTCCAGGAACAACGGTGTTGACAACGTTTATCTATGTGAAACCTGGAAGAGGAAGAGATGAAAAAACAAACAATATTATTAGTGCTAAAATAGACAAAAAGGTGGAGATGTAAAAAAAATATATATGTATGTATGTAAATATAAATGCAGAATATAATATGTAAACGCTGTCCTATAATCGGCCGGGCAGAAAGTTTAATATCCTCTATAATATGGTGGGGGCAAATAGCTGCAATCTACTGAAAGTTCCAAGGGACTTTGTATGGCGGTTGCTTAAAAAAGTAGTCAAAAATTTTTCAAAATGCTGAAAATAGGCGGGATTGACATATTCCCCATATAGGAATATGTCAACCCATAACGAAAATTTTATGACAAATATGTTTTCAACTTCTAGGAACCCAGAATGTTATATAAAGGTCCCTTCGGTTGGAAAATCCGGATATAACCTTAAAAATATTAAACAATTAGACCATGTTATTTGTTATTTTAGGACCATAGCAAAATTTAGATCGAGAATGGAATACGAAGAAGTTTTCTACCAACCCAAAAATACAATTAACACTTCACCTTATGGTGGTGGCTCCTGGCCCATTAAATATATGAAACTTATGGTGGGGGGTCCTGGTCCATAAAATGTATGAGCGTTTATGAAAATCAAATATTACTCCTCATGGGATACCCCTCATCATACATTTAGGGGGCCAGGTGAGGAAAATAATCTCTCTGTAACTTTTGTTTTTTGGACTATGGACCAACTGATAATACCATCCCTTCTTTTTTGGAAGAATAATGGACAAACGAAAATTGACTACAACATGAATTAAACATGGTCCATACATGTTGGCGACCAAATCATTGCCACCATAATATAATATTTTTCAACTCGTAGTTCGTAGGGTCCAGTTGGTGATGTTGTTAAATCAGGGTGTTGATTAACATTTTGTTGTTGCTGTAGTTACGTTCTAGATGTGCTAGGATATTCAAACACCATGTAGATTCCCCCAGTTTTCCCACTTTTATCCTTTCATATGAATATTCATATCCCATCTACGTGTTGTTTTTATATCTATGTAAAATTGCGAGTATATGTGTGTATGTAAATTTAGTTTAATGCTATTTGTATGTAATATCGTGTGTTTGTGTGTCTTCTTTGTTATAAAATTTTATTTTTATTATTTTGTTTTCGGGGTTTTTGTTTTGTTTTTAACATGACACATACTCACATAAAGTACTAACCCCCCCATTACAGAATTTCTTTTCAGTTTTTTGGAGTGGGACCATGTTAAAGTAGCACTTGTTGTATTTTTGTAAAATGCTGTTAAAATTGACCATGTTATAGAACCCCATTTTGTTGTTGTTGTAAAATTTTATTATTTGATGTTGTTGTTCGCTATTGTGCATTCGCATAGAAACAAGAATGTTTATATGTGTATGGGTGTATATGAGATTAAGAATTTGTTTTAAAATGGAAAATGAGGCAAATTTTTGTACATTAGGGTGGGGTTGGGAAAAATACAATTCCCAATAGAAAAAATAATATTCAGTATGTTGAAAAATTCTCATATACTATATCTATCAATAAAGTTCTGAAGAAGGAATACGGCAGCTATTAAAAAAAATATGCAGCTATGTGATATATTTTAGTCTGAAATCATGTAAATGATGGATAAGATAAGGTTGTGAAACTAGGCCTGAAAAAGTGTACCGAATTCGAATCTCTATGAAGTTCTTCAATATAAATTCGGCCGAAGAAGAAGAAGCAATAATGGCATGTTTCGATGCTGATTTAAATTGAGTCAAAGTTATTTATAACTCCCATATTTATTTTAGACTTTATGCCTTTAAAATCACAATGGAAAAATTTGCTTCAAATCGTTCGGATATATAGCAGCCATATATATTTTATTATATATACAATGCCATTCAATGGTCCTTGCACATAATGTAGGATATCACATAGTAATCTGCTCGGTCCAACTTTGAAGCTTTCCCTATTACTTTAATTTCCAAAATATTTTCCGACCCACCCTTATCCACATATTTTAATCATAAACATGTATAAGAGATTGTTTAAAAAAAAAATAAAACATTGTTGTCCAGTTGACATAGTAAATTTTTTTATTTGTAATTTTATTTTATTTTAATCCTCTCCCTGGTTGTTTTGTGTGACCCCCTTTGTTGGCTACTATTTTTGCTGCTGGTGGCTCGTCTGCTATGCCTCAATGTTTACTGTTGCTGTGTTGTGTATTAAATTAATTAAATCCCTTTTTTCATGTACAAACAGAAATTGAATTGTTTGTTGTATGTTCATGTTTAATGTGTTTTCTTTTCGAAATGTTGTTGTTTTGCAGCTATTAACAAATAACAATGTTACATTGCTATTGTCACAATTTAATTTAAAAAAAATATATTTTACAAGGACGAGTTTTGGAAATTTTAATTCAATACAAAAACAATTGAGGAAATTAGGCAAAGGACTTTACAAAAGATAATGGAAAACAAGGAGAGAAAATATGAAATGATAAACAAGTAAAAAATCCGTAAGAAAATTTCAAAAGTATGACGGGTCTGACCACATGACACCCTATACTATTTCGGGTACATAAAACTTATGTTGATAAGATTTTTATATAACCTACAATTATGTATACCGATTCACATCAAGCTTAACAAATGTTCCTCCCAAAGGATTGTGGTTTTATATGTTCAGTATTCTGTCGATAAAAATTGTAATCTTTGTGACCCCATTGTTAAAAAAAATGTTTGTTATTTGAATTTTGCCTTGTTGGGGCAGTGATCGTTTGAAAGTAATTTTAAGTGATTATTTATACTCTTTCGAGTCGAGCTTGATGAAAAGGAAAGCCAGGTAAAGAGCCTACATACCCACCATTATGCGACGCGTTTCGCCGTTGGTTAAGCGGCTCATCAGGCATATTGGGCTATGTGGCTATACAAAGGTCGTACGTTGGTTGATAACTTGTATTTATTCCGCCCTGATGCGAAACTTGCATATGCGAATGAAATTCAAATTTTTTGAAGTTCGACATTTGTCTTCATTCTAGGAACAGTCCTTTTCAAAGCAGATTTTAACGTTCTGAGCCCTCAACACACTTCCAAAACGGTTGCGCAAAAACATGTGTATACCATGGAAGCAATTGTAGGTGTGTGGATTAATTATCAATCGCTACAACAAAAATCGTGTCAGATCTATATAGATCCCACATATATAAATAATTCAAAATTTGGATTTTTGCACATGAATTGATATTCAATCCTGAATATTTTCAAAAAGCCTCATCCATGTTCCGTTCTTCTAGTTGCAATATAGTTAGATTTGATTGGTGTAGATGGCAGATTTAATCGTCACATGTTCACTAGACATAGGCACAAATTTATGGAGACTTATATGGATGCTTGATCTCAATAGACCTCGTAAGAACAGAAGGTATAATTAAGAACTTTGAAGTCTTGCAAATAGTTTGGGTCCATATTTTAGGATGTTTTTAAAAATTCTTAGACGAATTTTCGGTACCGAAATTTTTACAGGAAGAAAACTCACTGTCAGGGATGAGCTAATCATGATCTGTCATGCATTTGGTTTAAGGACAAACACATATATATTTTATATTTTACAAAAGATACATATTATGGTTTGAAAAAGCTTCCTGATACCCAATGACATTTTTGAGACCCTTCTGTAAAAATCCCATACAAAAAAACAGTTTGCCACAACATAAAAAAAACTATTGTTGGGATAATAATTCAGACACGGTTTGAGTGGAAAATAAACTTGAAATCAATAACGTTTTTTTTCGTAGCACATAAATCTAAAGTGAGTTCCACACCTCCAAGATGACACAACACGCAATCTATAGGCAATTTTGTGACAATTTATTGCCATAATTTTTAACACATATTCGCCCATGTTGGTAGTAGTTATGACGCTTTTCTCCCCCCCAAACATAACACTTGCAAACGTTTATGAAACCAAAAAACGAAGAAGATGAGTAGTATTAAAAAAAAACTATCAATTTTGTGTTCCACACAACCCAAGTCATAACAATTTTTAATAGCTCTTAAAGTGTGGGTGTCTATGACAACAACAACAACAAAGCTTTTGGCAGACATCACCAAACTGCCAACAGCCAAACATAACCGCAACATAAAACATTGGGTTATGGCAACTATGTAAACAAACAAGAGGCCATAAACAACGTTCAAACGTTTGTTGGAAGTTTGGAGAATTTTCATGCTCATGAAAACAGTTTTTTTTCTTATACTCATCCTCTTTAATGAAATGTTCATCATGATGATGATGGCAAGCGCCACATAGCAAACAATAACAACAACAACAAAAAACTATAGGTGCATATTAAATGTGAATAACCCATAAGGGGTGGCATCAAGTGTAAGGTAGGATGCAAGGGGAGTGTAAACATATGAATCACTCAGCTGGAACAAAATGCTAGTTAAGCAAGCAATTTTTTTCATTTTTTTGCATAAATTTACACTGCATTCAAATTTCTTCATTATTTTGTAGCCACAAACTATCCTTACTCCCTTCTCACACCTAGAAAACAAACAAAAAATATCCATATGTTAATGCGGCAGAAGGAGTAAACATTTCTCCTCCTTTCAGTTCGCCTGCTTTGTCATCGTCATCATTGCTAATGGTGTGATTATGTTGAGGCATATGCTCTTGGCAAAATGAATAATTGCCAGCAGCAGCAGCAACAGAAACATCAAAAACAACTGTGCCATACAGTGGAGTGTTGAGGGGGTACGGGCGGAGCAAATGCATGCGGGATAAAATGGCTAGGTGTGTGATTGGATCGTTAAAATAAAAAAACCCATTAAGACTTTAAAACTTAAAAGAATGAAGAAATAATTGAATCGTGGTAGATGAGATTAGTCACTTATGAACAGGGAATTAATTATTGGAATTAAATTCAAAAACTTTAAACATGTTATTTTATTCACGATACATCAGAAAATGTGCCATCTTGAAACGTTGCCAGTGAGTACAGGATAGTCTATGAGCA